TTCATTAGTTTTTTCCAGATTTTCTATCATAGGGTATGATTTTTTTGGACGTAAATTTTCTGGTAATGTAATGTAAGTTTGGTTATAAACATGTGAATTTCCAACATGTACACACAACTAGTTTGTTAATGGATGTTTGAAATAGATCAACTTTACACTTCAAAGATTGCTTATTTTCTGTGTTTGTTGCTTGGTATTTCATAAAAATATTTTTTTTCGGTCTTTCTTCTTCGCTTTCATAAAAAGATAACTTCGTGGGATTTCCATTACCTTTTTTTTGGGGTTTTGCTTCTTGCAATATTTTGGCATTTCCATTACCCAGAGGATTTTTCATATTTCTGTGTCTTTGAAATGTGAAAATCTTGCCAATAGTTCTTTTCTTTACTTTTATATTCTATGTCCACTGTCGAAATTATTTTGTACAAAATGTTGCTTATTGTGACAATATTCTCCAGAAAAAATGCTGCATAAAATAAAAATAGTACTTCTTATCATAACATCTTTATATCAGTTAAAATAATTTTTAAGCTTCCATTACATAATCAATCATTTTTTTCATGGATGTTCTATTAACTATGTTTCATTGTCTTCTTTGCAGATTTTCGCCAAGGCTATCTCAACTTCACTATGCATTACCATAATTCGTCAAGAAATACAGACAAGCTTCTCTGAATTCATCAATATGGACAAACATTTCAACTCCACTTGTATTTTTCAAATCACTTGTACATTTCAAATTAATGAGCTAACTTCTTATCATCTTCAACCACACATTGCAAATTTTCCCTTTGCTAAAACCTCCAATGGCATTCGCGACTCTATGTGTTTAAAGCAAGTAAAACAAACCAAAGGTTATAACTTTCGTATTCTCAATTAATAAAATTACAGTCTTATAACCATTTTCACAAGGTCGGTACAATTACAAATGTAGCTCATTCAGTACTTTTCTTTTTTTGTTATGCAAAAGAGCAGTACAACAAGTAAATATTCTTACGAACTGGGAAAATGTGATCGAGATTCTATTGAAGGTACTTACACTTCAAATTACCACATTCATTCACAAATCATATTAATCACTAATGTGTTCTTCGAAAATCATTTACTCCCATTACATATACCCCCTCTTTCAAGGGCGGACGTAGAACTTAGAAGTTAGGGGTGGCCCAATCGAACTAACAAAGAAATTGAGAAAAATTTTACAATCGAAAATTTACGTCCAAAAAAATCATACCCTATATAATTTTGCATTCCAAAATTTACATGGGATATGACATTTTCAGATGTAAAATTTCGAAATTTTTTTACGTCATATTCCATATAAAATTTCCTAATAAAAAGATAAAATTACATTGAGAAATTTGTATTGCAAAAATAATAAATGTTAGGCCCTGTTTGGTTCAACCACATATTCTTCATCACATCAATAGTACAAATGCATTCTTACCTTCAAAATGTGCACCAAACGGGGGGCTAATGAAAGAATTGAATTTTTAAAAAAAAGAAAATACTAGTTAAACGCCTTTCTTTAAAACTCAAGTTTAACACATTTTTAACTATTTTCGATATCTATTTGGATTATTAGATATGTTTATAATGTAGTTCTCGAAATAAGTAAGTTTTGAGATAACATAAAAAATTTGTAAATTCGATTAGCGTACGATTGTCGAAAATTTTTTAAAGTTAGCATATTATCGAAATTTTCGAAATACTAATTTTGAACGACTTACTTTGACAAGTCGTAGCATTTTCTAAAATGATCGTTTCGTACGTTATTAACGACGTAGAAACCTAGATTNATTTGTTACGATTGATCGTTTCGTATGCCATTAACGATGTAGAAATTAGACCGTGAACACTTCAAAATTGTATTAAGAATGCAACTATATATGCTAGCTATCACGTGCTTCCAAATTTCAATGCAACTTCAACTTGTACTTTTGGAAACACATAACTAATTAAGAAATATCTTTTGTACATGAAACCCTTTCCAACTAACAGGTTTAACATGGAACTTATTACACAATAACTTTTTCCAATGACTATTTTCTATCCATTAATACATTCATCTATTTCAATGATATACTATAATGTAGC